GGTCAGCTTCAATAGGAGACCGAGACCTGGAACAAATGGTGGGAAGAATCTCCACTGGACAGAAAACGTACTCGACAGCCCTCAGGAGAGTGAGAACGGGGATTCCGACCAGGGACGGAGCGATGCGAAGCTCAGCAGTGGTAATTATTCAGGCCGCGATCTATCCAGAGCATCGGCACGCGCACGAGAGTCTAGGAAGGGAAGCGCAATCCTGGGACAACCTTTGGTGCCACCTCAGATCAATTCAATCGGGCGAAGCCAACTAGGCTCATCACGTACTACAAGCCCTCGCCCTAATAAGACACCTGTGTCAGCGTCACCAATGACCGGTGCCGCTGTATCAGGAGCTTCCTTGCGCCTTACAACCACCAATCGCAGCTGTCCCACAGTTAGCCCGTTACAAACTCTGGAGGTGGAGCAGATTGCAGTCGCAGAGCTCGGATTGACGGAAGATATGATCACCGAGAACGCTGGGAGAGACATAGCAGAAGCTGCCGTCGGTCTCTTGTCGAATGATGCTGCTGCCCCCACAATCCTTGTACTTACTGGTAACCATCGTACGGGAGCCCGAGCTGTTTCCGCTGCGCGCCATCTTCGTAATCGTGGTCATCGTGTCACCTTATGTGTTTTGGGTTTGGAACACGAAAATGAGCTCCTTGAAAGCTGCCGTAAACAGCTTGATGTCTTCAAGAAGATTGGCGGGCGTGTTTTCAGATGGGAAGACCTTTCCGCACAGTTGTCAAGCTCTGACTTTACGCCTGATCTGGTTGTTGATGCACTCTTTGGTATCCACATATCCTTTGAGGACCTGCGCACCGACGATCAAGCTATCGCTTTCGAGATGATCGCTTGGGTCAACCGTAGTAACCTTGACATTCTGTCCGTCGATGTTCCATCTGGCCTATCTGCTTCCAGCGGTGAGTTCGAAAGCCTCTTCCTATTGCTTGAAAAGTTCTGACATTTTGGCGGCAGGCGAAGTAACTATGGTCGAAGACGGCCGAGTATGCGTCAATTCCACGTCCGTAGTCTGTCTCGGAGCCCCCAAAACGGGAGTCGTGAATGCCCTCCTGGCTGGAGAGGGACTTTCTTGGAAACTTTCCGTCGCAGACATCGGCATCCCGCAAATCGTTTGGCGTAAGTACGGCACGCGTCGCCGGCACGGTATCGACTTTGGGAATCGCTGGGTAGTACCTCTTCGCTTCCAACCTCCTCCTGCTTAAACAGGGCCATGAACTCGCCATGGACGATTTTTGAACGATAAAAATACACTTCGGGCGTTATGGGTTATTCTTGACATTCTTATAAAGGGGTGTTATGCGGGATACGTTCTGTGGTCATTGAGAGCAAGTTGAGATTTTTGCATATGCTACCCTCTTCAAGTAAGCATACGTTAATAAAGCATGTACTATATGTAGTTTACATTATCACGGTTCACACAATGCTACATTGTATATCTATTATACCACGGTTAAAAGGTGATCCTGAACCGACGTCTGAAGTTCAAGGATATTCTATAACGGTAGACTCAGAACCTTGAACCCCAGTAGGAACAGAATAAAGCCGAACTCTTCGACCGTATGCTCCAAATTCCATGCTAGATGCTAGGTAGAGCTGGTCGACAAGGAGCGGATAGTCAATACTGAATCTGTGGATTGTGAAAGATTAATCATGCAGGCTTAGAACTTCCATTGTATACATAGGTCGCTTTCCTTTTCTGTCTCAACGCTAGTACTGTTGTGTTGTGATTTTGCTAGTTTAAAATGGTGATGATCCCCTTACTACAACGCTAGCCTTAACTGGTTAGATTACTTTTACTAGTGCGTACCAATACATCATATCTGGAAATAATCCTACCAGCTGCGCCGAAGAACATGAAGTCAGCTACAGATTTGGCCTGATAAATCCTCGCTCCTTGAAAATTGGAAATGGGCAAAGGTGAGCTTCTCCATTCAAACTATTTTATACTACTTGCGACTGACTCCTGACTTGTTAGGAACGGATAAGCTTTACGTATGATATGCCACGCTTCCTCTGCCTCCGCGACTCTGGTGTCGCAAGCTGCTAACACGAATTTTAATAGATTACACACTCCGAGTGGGCGTCGGAAGACGCATATTCGGCCAGCGCAGGCGCTGGTGTAGGGAAAGCGAGGCGGGGAGGAGAGCACGCAGGTTTCAGACGCCTCCCATTCAACTTCTGCTCCCTCTCACTTCAGCCGTTCTCGCATCCGGTCTGCACTCCCTCGGGGACCATTTTTGACCTAACCAACATTCTGCCCTGGATTAAGAAACACGGTACAAACCCCGTGGACGGGTCGCCGCTGAAGAGTTCCGACCTCATCAAGCTCAATATCGCGAAGAACGAGTCGGGCGAGTATGTCGATCCGGTCACGTATAAGGTCTTGACGGACAACACGCACATCGTCGCTTTGCGCAATACGGGCAATGTTTTTGCATGGGATACTGTCGAGCGGTTGAATATCAAGGGAAAGCTGTGGCGCGATCTTGTTACCGATGAGGAGTTCAGTCGCAAAGACATAATCACGCTACAAGACCCGCAGAATATCGAGTCGAGGAATCTGAGTTCGTTCAATTATTTGAAGGAGGGAGAGAGCGCGTTGACTGATGAACAAATACGGGAACGAGAGGATCCGTCCAATAATGTCAATGTCAATGCGCTGGGAAACGCGGCAAAGATCCTGAAGGCGAAGGAAGCCGTGGCGAAGGCCCGTGCCGAGAGGGCTCAGCGCGCCGAGTCGGCTGCCGGCTCTAAAGGATTGACAAAGCCGGGGGTCGGTACGAGTGCCGCAGCTGCGTCGCAAAAGACCGTTTCACACCAGGCTGGGAAACCTATTCCGTATAACGCGGCGAGGCATACTACTGGTCTGGCCGCTGCGTCGTTTACAAGCACTGGTATGACGCCGCATACTTCTGCGGAGCTTGCACTTCTTTCAGATGAAGAGTATATGTTGAAACGAGGGCGAGTGAAGCAAAAGGGTTATGCTCGAATCTCGACTACGCTAGGCGACGTGAATCTGGAGCTGCACACTGAGTATGCGCCTAAAGCCGTGTGGAATTTCATCAAACTGGCCAAGAAAGGTTATTACAAAGATGTCGCTTTCCATCGCAATATCAAGGGATTCATGATCCAGGGTGGAGACCCTACAGGTACTGGGCGCGGAGGCGAGAGTATCTGGGGCAAATACTTCAACGATGAGTTCGAAGGACCTTTGAAACACGACTCTCGAGGAACCCTAAGTATGGCCAACAAAGGCAAAAACACCAACAGCAGTCAATTGTAAGTTTTGGTTTCCGTGTCTGGTCGCCTTAGAGTCAAATGCTGACAATGGCCGCAGCTTCATCGCTTACCGCGCGCTGCCTCATCTGAACAACAAACATACCATTTTCGGTCATGTAATAGATGACCCAACGCCCTCATCACCAACCCTGAACAGCATGGAAATACACCCAGTGAATGCTACAACCAACCGACCTACTCCTGACATCCGCATCAAAGACGTAACAATCTTTGTGGATCCATTCGAGGAGTTTTTGAAACAGAAGCAGGCAGACGAGGCGAAAGGTACGACCTCGACAGATGACACCAAGACATCTCAGGAGATAGACGATGATCGCGTAACCTGGACTGGGAAACGAATTCGAGGACCTGGTGCGACAGAAGGGGGCGAGAGCTCGGCTGGGGGAGTAGGGAAGTACCTCAAGGCCGCACTAGCGAACCAGGCAAATCAGGAGGAAGACGAGATTGTGGAGTTTGTGGATGAGGAGCCGGAGCCTGAGCCTGCACGGAAGAAATTCAAGGGTGGCGGTGGCTTTGGTGATTTTAGTTCCTGGGATTGAGCAGGTTTCGTACTTCTAGAAGTATGTCAGCCTTGTATTATGATCGAACATATCGACTTCTCAGCATGAAGGGAAACCTATTAGTGGCTAATTTGTATGTCATAGGCAGCTAAGCTGCCTTGCAGACAGCCCTGTAGTCTAGTGTACCATAACATAAGATAGCTTGTAGGTTCCCTAAGAATATATTTTGCTGCATTATATGTGAGCACAACCCGCCGTCTCCAACCATCCCCGATCCTCGGCCAGTTTATCTCCATCTTCCCGCCGTTTCGGGACTTCCTCTGCAGCAGCCATCACCAGCGTAACCATATTAGGCTTAGCGTAGCCGCAGTTTAGGTGACCCAATGACTTAAACAGTTCCCAAGGCAGTAAGGCAGACTTCCCCTCTCCCCAGGATTATTAGGTACTATTAGTTGTTAGTAGTAATCACTACTGCTGCTACTACTAATAATAAGCGTCCATCAGTTCCACCCCCCAAACCATCCATCTGCATTGCGCTACCATCTCTTCACGACTTTTTGTATCTATTTGACAGCTATCGATAATAGAGGAGAGCAGACGATCTCTAGATACTATCCTATCATTCCGTGAGTGTTTACTTTCCCTTTGATTTGGTGAAGCGGCCTGATACCATACCGTTTCCATCCACGCGCAGTGGGGTTGCCTTTCAAGCGCCCATGACACCCGACTGAGGATAGACGCCAGGGTCTTTTGAAGGATTGATCCTGATGACCTTGTAATTTGTGTTTTGTCCCTTGGTTACTCATTCAGCCCCTTACCAGAAGGATTTGAGAATCCCTCCAACCGCAGTTGTTGGATAGCATCATCCCCCGCCGGCATTGCTGGGTTAGGTTGGGTTGATTCTCTAATCCGCTAACAGTCATTATTGCTCGCATTATAGTCAGTGAACTCTGCGTAGGATTGACTACTGACGATCTATATCATAGCCTTCTTTCCCTCGAAGTCCGCAGCAGCACTTCCTCCCCTCCTACGTCAGTTCCTCGCTATCTGCCGTTCTCCACTACCGCAGTAACTCCCGTCGTACACCTTCACTGAACTTCTCTCCTTCACAGAGGACTACCTATCAAGCTGGCAGGTAATAAGAGAAGAAGTTTTTCTAGCCAGGGTGGGTTGCTGAACAGAATGTTCAGTGGCTCCTCGAGCCCACCCAAAGATAAACTAGAAACCATTCCACACTCGGAGGCCATCAATACCCCGTCCCTGACCGTCAAGACCGACGAAGCCACAGTATCCCAGAAGAAATTTTCTCCTCCCGGTGGATTCTTTGGTCGCAGAGCGAGCGACGAACCGAGCCCTGGTGGCGAGAAGAAGAGGAGAAGCAGTACCGTCACCAAAGCAGCGACATTGTTCTCCAACGCCAAAAACTCGTTAAGTTGGAGCAACTCTCGTGAAACCGCTGCGACCCTTACCGTGGCTCACTCGCCACCTTCTTCTCTACACAAACTTGGGAGAATGGACCCGGCATTGATTGTCCCTCAAGGGTCGTTGAACAATTCTGCCGGCGAATCATTACCCACCCCCCGCTCCTCATTCAGAGTTGGCGTCACAGAGGATCGGAACCGAAGATGTCGTCGGACTATGGAAGATACTCATGCATACCTCTACAATTTCTTGGGGACGCCCGCACCCTCTGGCCAGGCTGATGTCAATGGCAAAAGACAGTCCGGTGATGTCTCGCCTACAGCTGTAGAAGAAACCAGCGTTGTCGAAACTGACAATGGGTATTTCGCAATCTTTGACGGACATGCGGGCACATTTGCTGCCGAATGGTGTGGGAAGAAGCTGCATTTGATTCTGGAAGAGGTCATGCGGAAAAACCCCAACACCCCCGTTCCGGAATTACTTGACCAGACTTTCACTTCGGTCGACCAGCAGCTGGAGAAGCTGCCGTTAAAAAACAGCGGCTGTACCGCTGTCATTGCTCTTCTACGCTGGGAGGACAGAGTCCCTAGTTCTCATTCCGTCACCGGCTCTTCTGCATTGGCTCCGGCCGCTGCCGCCGCCGCCGAACCCAACTCGGAAGCTGACAACACGCCAACTCAATCAGCATCTGTGTCTGTGCTTCCAATATTGCAAGAGAAAGCCGCCCGTCAACGAGTTCTCTATACTGCGAATGTTGGTGACGCTCGCATCATTTTATGTCGCAACGGTAAAGCGCTGCGCTTATCTTATGACCACAAAGGAAGTGACGAAAATGAGGGGAAACGGATTGCCAACGCTGGAGGATTGATACTTAACAACCGAGTAAACGGAGTTCTTGCAGTCACGCGAGCTCTAGGTGATGCTTATCTCAAAGACCTTGTGACTGGCCACCCATACACTACAGAGACAGTCATCCAACCCGATCAAGATGAGTTTATCATTCTGGCTTGCGACGGGGTGAGCAACCTTCCTCTTTACTGGCTCTTATTGATGCTAATGTTTGGACAGTTGTGGGACGTATGTAGTGACCAAGAAGCCGTAGATCTGATACGGAATATACAGGATGCTCAGGAAGCCTCAAAAATGCTGGTCGACCATGCCCTCGCTCGCTTCAGTACTGATAACCTCTCTTGCATGGTGATTCGGTTTGACAACAACCGTGTCAAAGAGGTCGTCAACCGCACGGTCGACCCTATCGGTGTTGACGGTGATCCAGCCACGCATGCGGGATACGGAGTGAGCGAGGCTGATAAGATTGTCGAGGGGGCGAGAAAGAGCATGGCCGATACAGATATCACCGATGACGCCGAGACACCAGAGAAAGCCACGGATGAGGTTTTACAGAAGATGGCTGATGGTGGGCCAGGGCCCGACGTCCCTATTGATGAACACAAGGAGACTCCGCCGAAGAAGGTCGAGTCAGTTAATGGGAATACATAAGTGGTGATTTCACGCACTGCAGAACTGAAATGGCTGCGTCCAACGACGTGATAGAAAGTTCTCTATGCCTGGCATTTTTGGACACAAACAACAAAGCTTCGTCTTACTCTCTCGTTATACTGCTCCTTTTTTTGCTAGTCACTGGTGTTGATTGGTTTTGAGTGTGCAATCGCTCCAGGAAGTTGGATGACCTGCGCCCCTCCATATCTCTCGTTCTCATACTCTATCTTATCACTTTGCTACCTATCTGGGATTTTTCACTTCGCAATCGGGGATAGCGGAACTTGGCCTGGTTTCATATTTCCATGCTAGCACAATCCTGCCTTTGTATCGCCATATTGCTCGGATATAAATTCCATATGTCATTCTGATCTACTCAGATTGCCAGGCCCGCAAGCAATAAATTTTCTTGTGGTCTTGCCAACAGGTTACGGGGTTATCAGATGAATTCAAATATTGTCTGCTAAACGCCATCATCATTCCCAAGCACAAAAATAAAGTAGTATCTATAAGTACAGTTTGTATAGTGCGTGCAAAGTCACGTTGAAGAGATAGGAATATCCACAGCCCAATCCATCGCCGATTCCTACATACCATCGAACACGTCGCTCTTCATCTAGGCCTGCTTCTCTTTGAATTGGTCGCTCGCCAGCACATCCTTCTTGCCAGGGATGTGCTTCTCATCGGGCATAACATGGTCGCGGCTCAGATCCAACTCGCCATGCCAGACACGATCAGGCCATTTCTCCGCAAAACGAGCGGCGTGGATATCAGACCAGAGGATCTTGACACCGTTGTCTCCCAGGAGCTCCGCGTCATCATTAGGCTCCTGGATCGTGTAGTCGACCTCCGGCGTGCTCAGGGTCTGCGCGAAAGCAGCCACACGCTCAGCCTGCTCGGCAGACTTCTCTTGCTCCTTCTTTCTCGCCTCCCTTCTCCGTCTCCGAGCAGCCGGAGTCAGATAGCCCCTCTTGCCATCCGCAAACCCATTCGCGATCTCATCCTCCTGGATGGAGAGTACAGCCGCGATGTCCGCAACGCTGGTAGCCTTTTGATCCATGACCACGCGGGCCCGGTCTTTCTTCTCCATCAGCCAGCCGATCTTGTCAGCGTATTTTTCGTCGAATTTCTTCGCTTCTTCCGGGTTGCGGGGCCGCTTCTGGGCGAGGAATTGTTCGGTGATTGTGATCATTTCGCGGGGGGGAGCGAGTTGGCGCTGCATGGAGAATTCGCGGAGGAGGTGGTAGGCACGCAGTCCGATCTTGGAGTCGGTGAAGTGCACTGAGTAGTAGGGCACCCACATGTCTTTTCGAAGGGTTGCGGGAACAGTCTTTTTGCCGTGGTAGATGAGTTGGCGGAGGACATTGTTTTTCTATAGTCGTAAGAAGGAAATTAGAAGGACTCATGGGGACAGATGGATGATGAGGGTACGCACTTCCAGATATCTTGTCAAGGAGTACACCACCTGGTTAGTCCGGATGTTATGGTAGGCAAAGATATTCTTGCCGTGGGCGATGGCATTGAGCGCCTTTCTTAACCGCACTCCCTCCTTCCACTGATGTGTCTTGAAGGCATTCGAGTTTTGCTCCCGAGGCTTTCCCTGAATAACACTGTGATTTTCGATCGGTGGACGACGGACGACATTCCAGGTTCCGATCTTAGTTGGGTCCAAGATCTTCTGGAAAGGTTTGGTGAACGACTGAGAGGAGGCCATTGCGGCCGGAAACACCGCTCGGTGTTCCTAAAATGGATCTGAGGCGTTGATTAGAATCAATAGAGTGAATTCACTCTAGCGCATTGCGACTCGAGACTGCGGAGTGTGTAGTGGTTGATCTAGCTTCGTGATGGGAGCTGCACGGTTTCTGGGCAGTGAGGAAAGTGTCGGGTGGATCAATTTTTGTCGGAGGAACTGAATGGGCGAATCGACGCCAGCATCGGGATCTCCGCAGCGTCACTTATGCTCGGAGGAACAGCATGATCATCACATCTTCATTCTTTGAGTTAAGAATCAGCGCAAATAGTTGCAAGAGATATTTTCTCAATTTGCGTTGGCGAGACCATTATCCAGACACTAACTAGAATGATCGGACGAATACAACTCTCGCACCGCTATAGCTGAGTCCTCGACCGCCCGCAATGTCGCCGACAGCGAACACTTCGAATGGGCTGGACAAGGACGAGGCCGGCACTCGCCGTGAAAGGCCGTGGTTGTTTCCTTCGGTATCTAAAACATTTAGTTATGAGAAGTTTCTGTATCGCTGCTGACGCATTGACTATAGAACCGCAAGCTCCGACATTTACAAGGCATTTCGATCCGCAACCTTGTCATCACTCCCCCCCTGAGCAGGCCTCGTGGGAAGACTATTGACGATGAGGAGATTCCATATTCTCTACAATCCCCTTCCAAACTCCTAGCTCAAAGCGCAAACCGGCCCTTGCCACAGTCACGATCTTTTGCCGACCTCAAGACCGCACCCGTCGTATCGGACAACCGTGACGATGCCGAGCAGCAACCTGCATCACGACTACGGAGGAGAAGCATGCTGCCGTGGAATGACCCTAATCCACGGATGAGACAGATCAAGCTGGAGGATATTACGAAGACCAGGATGGCAGATTCGTGGTTCTCAATTCATTGCGACGGCATCGATACGCCTGTCTATGTGAGCGAAATTGTGGAGAATGCTACGAACCCCAGCTTCAAGGCCTTTGATCTGAATGTTTGCGGACCGAAAGTTTCCCGCGCGGATTGCCTTACTCTCAAGCTCTGGGTGAAAGCAACGACCATGGAGGAGTACTTGTTGCTGGTCGAACTGCAATTGTGTCTGCAATCCCTACAGTTTCTAGGCAAATCGTTGGATAGCTTCCACCAACCCTTGCCCTCGAACTCCGTCCTTTTCCATCTGACAGACGGCGTTTATACTAATCTAACTGGCATTCCATCCTCCAACACCATGATACTTCCGGGCGCACCAAAATTCTCAGACGGAGTCGTTTTGCCAACGTCTTCCTACGATGCCCTGATGCGCTTGGCCAATTTGGACGAATGCATTCAAGACGCGCTGGCCACGAGGGAGAAATTGGAGTCGCAGATTAGTGCGATTCTAGAAAAGAACCATCATGCCATGACTCTCACAAGCGACGCCTCCCGTGCCCTAGATAAGCTTGCCCTGACCAAGCATGCCGTTGCGGCGGGGAAAAAACAGCTCCGCGCGACATGCAAGCGCAGAGAGGAACTTATCGCCAGTATCAAAGCTAGAAGAGAAGCCATGGAGCGTGGACGGTATAGTCAGGAAAAGGCTCGCAGTCATCTTCCAGACGCTCAGCTAAAACTGGCCGCCTGCTCTAAGGTGCTGAAACAGAATACAGAAGAGACCAAAGGTCAAATTCGGCGCATTTCCGAAGACTTGCTTGCAATTTACCCCATTGAGCCGATTCCTGACAAGCCGCTGGCGTTCACTATCGCCGGGCTCGCCCTTCCCAACTCCAATTTCGGCGACATTGATCGGGATGCCGTCGCGGCCGCACTTGGGTATACCGCGCACCTGGTTCACTTGCTTTCATTTTACCTATCAGTTCCGATGCCATACCCGATCAGTCCGTATCTGTCGAACTCCTTGATTCAAGATCCGGTGTCCGCCTCATTAGCTCAACGGACCTACCCTTTGTACCCGGTCAATGTGCAGTACCGGTTTGAATATGGAGTCTTCCTGCTGAACAAAGACATTGAGTTCCTGTTGAATAAGCTAAGCCTGCGAGCACTCGATATTCGACATACCCTCCCCAACCTGAAATATCTTTTGTACATTCTCACCGCTGGTACCTCGGAGATCCCAGCACGCAAGGCCGGTGGGATTCGTGGTCTTCTCCAAGGACGGCTGACTCCCAGCCTGTCGCGACGGGGAAGCGAAGACAGCGTTGGTTATAACGAGTCGATCTTCCCTCGCAAAGACATGAGACCGAGCTCGAAATTAAATGGAGACCTCGCGTCAGACAAGGCGAAACAAACAAGCCAATATTTGACTAGCACCCCAACCTCCCATCCAGTGGCTTAGAAGATCATTCCGTCTGTTTACTAATAATGCCTCATTAGGTGGTCTTGATGAGTACGATGTTTGTCTTGTCTTGTTGACGGTCGACCATTTATCTACCCATGTACCCGTCTCTTATCTGTCTCTTTTCCCATTCGTGCAATTATCCCCTTCTCCACTTGATTCGTTACTGGCTAGACGCCATGATGCAACCTTCTACCTTCTTCCACAGTTTCTAGAAACCCATCACAGGTCATATCCTTGGCGTATTACTGTTGGATTGTCGTTCCTGGCCGTTTCTGGGCTAGCAAGGAGATTTTCTTCCAATGAGCGGACGCCGTCCTCGCTGTTATCTGTGCTTTAATTAGGAAGAACAGGGAATCTGGACAATTCGCTCTGATTAGTCCGGAGTCTGATACCTTAGCATTATTATTGATAACAGATATCCCTCTAAGCCTCTCACGATTGATGAACCACAGGACACGAGGAACTTGGAACGAACGAGAGGTCGCGGAAGGTTCCATTAGAACGCTTCTCTGCCTAGAATCCAAGGAATAATTTATCTGCTCTCCATTTGTGTCCACTGCGCCGTGTTTTTCTCCCCTGTTTTACCCCGCATTTTTTGGACCCAGCAAATTCTGGCTTAGCGAGGTTAATAGCATTCTCCATCATCTCATAATCCACCCTTTGTCTTCCATTTCATCATTGCAGAACTTTCCATCCATTTTTTCGTTGATAGTAGGACAATTGCATTGCCTACACGTGCTTTACCTCGAGGAAAAAGGACCTGCAGCCGGAACGTGGAGCCCTCGAGTCCTTAAAATTCGCCGGAGAAGTGTGATAACTGATAAAGGCCGCAAACCCCACCGCTTTCTGGCGGCCCCTTCGCTTTGCATCGGCATACCCCAAATCCACCATAATCCACTTCCCCCTGTTGTGCCGGCAGAAGGCGGCTATACACGATCATGA